CAAAGAAGAAATAAAAGTATCCTGGAAACAAATGACAATGAAATACAACAATCCAAAATCTATGGTACACAATGAAAGCAGTCCTGAGAGGGAAGTTCATAGCTTTACAGGCCTGGTTCAAAAAATATACATAATATATTATCTATCACTACAACTTATAAAATTATAAACAGAGTCACAAGAAAAGCCTAGAATTAGCAGAAGGAAGAAAATAATAATAATAAATATTAGAGTAGAAATAAATGACAGAAACAAAAAACTATATATATAAAATATCAACATAAATGTTAATAAAATATCAATATAAAATATCAATAAAACCAAGAGGTGTTTCTTTGAAAGGATCAACAAGATTGATGAACCTCTAGCCAGGCTCACCAAGAAACCAAAAGAGGACCCAAATAAACAAAATCAGAAATGAAAGAGGTGAGGCAGCAACTGACCCTATAGAAATACAAAGGATTATAATATAATACTATGAACAACTCTATTCTAACAAACTGGACAACGTAGATGAAAGGGACATATTCCTAGAAATATACAATATTCTAATTTCAATGAGGAAGAAATAAAAAAAAATTTAAAAACGGAATAGGTTGATAAGTACCAATGAAATTGAAGCAGTAATCAAAAAACTTCCAGCAAACAAAAGCTTTGTCTGGATGACTTCACAGGGGAGTTTTACTAAACATTCAAAGAAAAATTAAAACCAATCCTTCTCAGACTACTTTTAAAAAATGCAAGAGGAAGGCACTCTTCTAAACTCTTCCTATGAAGCCAGCATTTCCTTAATCCTAAACCCAGATAAAGACACATAGAAAGAGAATTATAAGGCAATATCCCTAATGAACGTAGATGATAAGATCCTCAACAAAATTCTAGAAAATTGGATTCAGCATTACATTAGTTAAATCATACCCCATGACCAAATGGGTTTTATTCCAGGGTATACAAGTCTGGTACAATGTCTCACAAAATAAATGTGATACATCACATAATCAGATTGAGAGACAAAAATCACATGAGCGTATCAATTGATGTAGGAAAAGATTTGACAAAATTCAACACTCTTTCTTGTTAAAATCTCTCAGCAAAATAGGAATAGAGGGATCATACCTCAACATAATAAAAGCCTTATATGACAAACTTATAAGCAACATCATACTTAATGGGCAAAAAATAAATCCATTTCCCCTAAGAATAGGAACAAGACAGTGATGCCCACTTTCACTACTCCTAGCCATAGCAATCAGAGAAGAAGAATAAATAAAAGGCATCCAAATTGAAAAGAAGAAATAAAACTGTCCTTATTCACAGATGACATTGTATTATACATACAAAACCCTAAAGACTCCCATCAAAAAACTACTAAATGAATTCAGCTATGTAGCAAGATACAGAATTAATACCCAGAAATATATGGCTTTTTTATACACCAACAGTGAATTCAGAGAAAGAGAAAATAAAAAATAAAAAATCCCATTTACCATAGCAACAAATAAATTAAGATACAATAAATTTAACTAAGTAGGTAAAAGACGTGTATACTCAGAAAACTACAGGATGTTGAAAAAAGAGATAGAGGAAGATATAAACAAATGGAAGAATATATCGTGTCCATGGATTGGTAGAATCAGCATTATTAAATTGTTCATACTACCCAAAGCCATCTATAGACTCAAAGCAATCCTCATGTGTAATTCTTTAAACTACAAAGAATTTAAATTTTCATGAAGTTACCAAATGTTTCTTGATGTATTACTACTATCCTAGCATATTAACAAGCTCCTCAAGAGGAAGTCTAGCTGGAAGAGGCAGCCTCTTTCCTCCTCCATTTTGATGTCACAGCAGTGCCTCTGGACTATTGACTTGAGGAAGACATGGTGCTGAATTAAAGAGCATTAGTTTGCTTTATTGTTTGTTACCAGGGATGTTAAGTCATAAAGTTTTCATCTTTGGAAATCTTTGGCCTTGAGGTACTCTGATGTTAAATAGGAAAATGCAAAAGAAGTGGTGATTGTAGGAAGAATAGAGAACTTATTACAGAGTGGAAATATATTAGGTAGTGGCATTTATTTCTCATTTTTTAAAAATTAATCTTTATTGTTCATATTATTACAAAGGTTCCTCATTTCTTCCCCCCTCCACCAGGTTCCCACCCCACCCTCCACCCCCTCCCCACCCCCCATTGTCCTCATCCATAGGTGCACAGTTTATGTTCAGTCTCTTCCCGCATCCAGCACTCCCCCTTTCCCCGAGAACTGTCAGTCCACTCCCCTCCCGTATTGTCGACTCTACTACAATCAACAGCTAATATTGTTCATCAGGTTTTTCAATCTCCTTTTTTTGTTTTTTGGTTTTTTTAATGAATAAACTTTTACACATCTAAGAATAAATTTTAAAATCTAATAATTTTAAACCTTGTTTATTCTGCCCTGGGAACTGAGAAGCAAACTTGTTTACATGTAAACTTGCCCTTAGGCTATCAAAAGGTGTAGCCATTCAAATGTAAATGAACACATTGTTTAAAGATAGTTGCTGGTTGGAATTGGATTACCTGTTCTGGGTGGGAAGGGCTTGTCCTCCCCTTTCTCCATTAAAATTAAGGTGTTAGCTTTAAAACCTCTTTTTGCCAAGAGACCTTAATCTTTCAGAACTTTAAATTTTTCAGATAGTAAATCAGTTACTTAGCATTTTCTCAAATCAATAATACCTCCACATGCCCAAGGATATACTACACACAAAAGACATTTCCAAATAGATTAACCAACCTCATCCAGACCCCACACAAGGCACTCACAGATCAACACCCCAGCGCTATACTAACTCAACACATCCAGATCTAAGCCTTCATCACTTGATTCAGCAGATGCTCAAGTTCCCCCAAAAGTTTCCAGCCATGTCTGAGAGGCAGCCCTGGGGCATGGGCAGGCAAGGAGCTAGCTGTTCCGGAGCGAGCAATCAAGGCCTGGCCTCTGTTGCTCTAGTCTGCTCCACAACCAGCTGCTCCGGGTCTGGCCAGTGCTGCTCTCGGCCTGGCTGCTGCTGCTCCGAGCTTGGCTGCTCCTGACCCGGCTGCTCTGGGCCCGGCCACTCCGGGCCTGGCTGCTCCGGGCCTGGATGCTCCAGGCTTGGCTGCTGCTGTTCGGGGCTTAGCTGCTCTCAACCCAGCTGCTCTGGACCCGGCTGCTCCAGGCCTGGTCACTCCAAACCTGGGTGCTCCTGGCCTGGCCACCCTGGGCTTAGCCGTCTCCGCCCCAGGCCTGGCTGCCACTGCCCCAGGTCTGGCTGCTCCGGGCCTGGATGCTGCTGCTCTGGTTCTGGCTGCTACTGCTCCGGGCCCGGCTGCCACTGCCTTGGTCCTGGCCACTCTGGGCCTGGCCTCTGCCATTCCAACATTCTGTCCTTTTTTTTTTCTTTTAAACGCATTTATGTTGCAATGTTGGCTGCTGAGTTGAGTTCTGTCTTACTCTTCGATTTTTCAAGATCTTCTTTGTTTTTTTTTTCTTAAGTAATTTTACTATCTTTTGCTATAACTTGATTTCTTCACATTGAAAACTTCTTCGGTCTCTTCCTCCTCATCCTGGAAGCCTGCAGCACCCCTTTGTTCTCCGCAGCCTCCTGCGAGGTTTCAGCCTGTTGCCAGGGTCAGTGCTGCCCAGGAGCAGCCCCTGGCCTCGGCTCTGTGGCCTGCAATCAGCGGTCGAGGGCCCAGGGGCACCCCTCCCCCATTGGGCCCCGTCGCCAGGCTTCTTGCCGGCGCCCGGCTGGCCGGTGTCCAGCAGCGGCTCCTGCTCCTCATCGTGTTCCTCCCCGTCTGGAGCTCTTTTCTCCTTCCCGCTAGGGGAGTCTAGCATCAGAGTCAACAGACTGTCCTCTGCACGCAATGTGCGCGACTCCGGGGGCTCTGCCCCTCACCGCTCCCCTGGGATTCTGCCTCACAGCCCTGTCTCCCCCTGCCTGTGCCTGGGTCCCCAGGGTCTGGCCCAGAACTGGGGCTCAGTGCTGCTGGTTCTGGGGTTCAGCCCAGTCCAGGGCTTTTATTTCCTTCCTGCTAGGGAACGCCAGGCAGGCACCCAGCCTTCTCCTCCTCTCCGGCTCCATCCTCTGGTACATCATTTTGATGCTGTAAATAGGCTCTGAGGGATAAATTCTGTATAAAATCAGTGAAACTATAGACATTATATAAAAGTATCAATTTTTATATTGTTTTTCAAATGTATTGAGGTTTGAAAAGATGTGCTTATCTATACACTATTTTAGGATTTCAGACTTAGATGTGATTAAAATATAAATTTAAAAAAATATATATTTTATTGATTTTTTACAGAGAGGAAGGGAGAGAGAGAAATAATTAGAATAATCGATGAGAAAGAAATATCCATCAGCCACCTCCTGCACACCTCCTATTGGTACATGCCCTTGACTGGAGTAGAATCTGGGACCCTTGAGTCCACAGGCCAATGCTCTATCCACTGAGCCAAACTGGTTAGGGCCAAAATATAAATTTAATATATAAAAAAGTTGACTTATATATTTAATATATAAAAGTTGATGACACTTAGTAGTTGGTCACATTTTTTTCAAGGCAATGAAAATTCAGCAATTATAATGGATGGGTACTAATTAAATTGAAACATTAGGTAGTTACAATGGTAAGTTCTTTCAATGATTGTGTCTATATTATTAGATAGTAAGCTACTGACATTTTAATATTTCAACACTTAAAATTTTAATTTAGTTGAACAAGTGATTAATGAAAAACAGTAAGACTAATACTACAAAAGTTGTCTTTATATGGACTCAGTTTTCAAAGTAATGCAAACACTAATAATTTAATACTATTCATATACTTTAAGTTGAGGTAAATTTTTTGGTGTATTCTCTAAATAGTGTTACTCTTGTATTATAGTCTAAATTCTGACTTCTATTAGAGACTGTTTTTTTGGTTTATGTATGGTTTAAAATATATCTTAAAATGTCTTCCCTTCACTAAACAGCTTTGATGTCATATTTGCTGGCAGTCCAGAAGAAGTTCTAAAAAAGTTCCAAAAGTCAAACCACAAAGTGGTCTTTGCAGCAGATGGAATTTTGTGGCCAGACAAAAGATTAGCAGACAAGTATCCTGTTGTACACATTGGGAAACGCTACTTGAATTCCGGAGGTGGGTAAGATTCTGGCAGAAATTTAATATAAGTTATAGTAATTATAAATAATTATGAAACCACCTTTTTATATGTATAACTATAGACATAATTTTAAATAACCATTAACTTATTACTATGGAAAAATTACATCAGTTTATGATCCACAGTACATTTTATAGCTGACAAAGCATTTTCCTGTATAAATTATATCATACTAGAGGCTGAATGCACAAAATTCATGTGTGTGTGTGGTGGGAGGTGGAGGTAGGGATCCCACAACCTGGACTGTGCCCTCTGGCAATCCAGGACCTCTCACTCCTAACCGCCTGCCATCTGCTCGCTCCTTACTGCTTCGCTTGCCAATCCTTAGCACTGCCATGGAGGCAGGAGAGGATACCATCACAGCCGCTAAGCTCACCAGCCATGATTCCAGCTTCTGGCTGAGCAAACCCTCCCACTGTGGGAGCACACTGACCACCAGAGGGCAGCTTCTGCTTTGAGCGTCTGTCCCTGGTGGTCAGTGCATGTCATAATGACTGGTCATTCTGGTTATTCCGCTATAATGGTTGCCGGGCTTTTATATAATGGACTAGAGGCCTGATGCACAAAATTCATGTAAGAGAAGGCCTTCCTTCCCAGCTGCCTGCACCAGCTTCCCTCCAGAACCCAGTACTAAGGTTTCCCTCTGGCCGCCAGCAGATATCGGGACCTAGGCTTTCCTCTGGCCACTGGCAGGCACGCATACCTGGGCTTCCCTCCAGCTGCAGCAGACACCTGGGACCGGGCTTTGCTCTGGCTGCTGACAGGCACCCAGGACCCAGCCTTCCCTCACAGCCCCGGCTTTGTCTGGAAGGTTGTCTGGAAGAATATTAATAAAATATTAATAAAATGTTAAAATTCATATTAATAAAGAGTACTATGCAAATTAGCCGTCACATCGCTATGGCCACAAGCCATGCCCACCAGCCATGCCCACCAGCCAATCAGAGCAAATATGTAAATAAATGCAACCAAGATGGCTACAGCCACAGAGAGCAGGATGGAGGCTTGGGTTACATTGGTAATGGAGGAAGAAAGCTCTCTGCCTGCCTAAGCCTCCACTCAAGGCTACAAAGTTTCAAAGATAGAAGGTAAACAAATCCAAACAGAAATGGCTGCTGGCCACAGAGTGAGCAGGAGGCTTGGCTCCACTCCAGGCTACAAAGTTTCAATTGGAGAAGGTAAATAAATTCCAGATATCAGGGCCTCTGCTTGGCTTGCCAGGGGGCATTGCTGGCCTGCAAACCACCACAGGCCCCTCACTCAGGTTGCTCCACACTCCAAGGAAACCCTCACCCTGATCCAGGACACCATTCAGGGCAAACCAGCTGGTCCCCATCCATGCACCAGGCCTGTATCCTATCTAATAAAAGAGTAATATGCAGATTGACCATCACTCCAACACACAATATGGCTGCCCCCTGTAGTCAAAGATCCTGCTCCCATGTGGACACAAGGTGGCCACCATAAGATGGCCAGCAGGGGAGTACAGTTGGGAGGGATCAGGCCTGCAAGGAAGGGTAGTTAGGGGTGACCAGGCCAACAGTGGATGGAAGTTGGGGGCAAACAGGCTGGCAGGGGAGCAGTTAGACATCAATCAGGATGGCATGGGAGTGGTTAGGAGGTGATCAGGCTGGCAGACAGAAGCAGTTAGGAGCAATCAGGAAAGCAGGCAGGTGAGCATTTGGGAGCCAGCAGTTCTGGATTGTGAGAGGGATGTCCGATTGCATGGGGTCCCAGATTGGAGAGGATGCAGGCTGGGCTGCACATAAATTTTGTGCACTGGGCTTCTAGTCATAGATAATGCCCCTAGCAACATTAGACAGTATGTTATTATTTACAAATTATAAGTGAAAAAACCTTTGTTCTCTCAATTTAAATGACTTCATTGAATCACTTTAAGTGTTAAAAGAAAAATAATGTAGATCCAGGTCTTCTGGTTATAGAGTCATTGAAAATTTTCTGGCTATTGGACAATGCATTTAGTAAATTCCTATCTTACAAAAAAGAACAAGCTACAATCAGGTAGCTTTAAAAACAGGCATTGTTTAATTTTATCTGTGTTTTATATATATTAGAATAAATGAATAATTTATCTTGAAATTCACTAGTCAAAAAAATTCAACTTGCAATGTCTGATATACTTCAAGTGTTGCATTAGCTATGCCACCATGGATTAATGGAACAAATTATCACATTTTTCCTTTCTTTTTTTAAAAAGAGAAAGTAAAATTTGACATTGGACACTATAATGACTCAAAGAGATTTTTTAGACTGAGATTAATGTAAACTACCCAGGAGATATACTCAAACAGAATGGGGGGACATGTAAATATGCAAGCTGCATTGGGAGAACAGATGTTTTTCAGTGATTTAACTATAGCTATTTAGGCTAGTTAAAATACATGCTCCTCTAAATAGCAGCATATCGGAATTCAAGGCTTTGCTCAACCAGTTATGGAATGAAACCTTTAGCAAGTGGTTTACGTTCTTTGAGATATCTCAGTTCCCCGTCTTTTCATCTGCACTTTAAAAAATAATTTTATTGATTTCACAGAGGAAGGGAGAGGGAGAAAGTTATAGAAACATCAATGAAGAGAGAGAATCACTGATTGGCTGCTTCCTGTATGCCCCCTACTGGGGATCAAGCCAGCAACCTATGTATCTGCCTTGACCAGGAATTGAACCATGACCTCCTGGTTCATAGGTCAATGCTCAACCCTGAGCCATAACCTGGGAACTTTGTTAGCCCATTTAATATTACCCATTTTAAAACCTTTAATTCTAGTTTACACTTCCAACTTTTAGCCAGACTTTTCTCTCAATCTCAATACAACTACAGTTCATAGTTTTGTGCGATCTCTTGACCATTCTTTTTTCTCCTAATCTATCTAACTACTGCCTTTGGATTTTACTCCCACGTTCAAGTCAGAACCTAGGATTTTTGTTACTCATTGTCTTAGCAGCTTACTTTAGAGTTCCAGTTCATGCACTGGCAAAGCCTCTCTCTTATGAGGCTTCTCACTCTTGACTTATTGTTTGAACACTAGCTTTGTAAATTGGTGCTGCTTCTGCCTCCAAACTGTCAGGCCTTCAGTAAGAATAATCTTTTAAATTATCGTTAAGTTCTAGGTAGTTTAAAAACCATTTTGCTGTGGAACTCTGTGATGTTTGTTTTGTATTTATGATTTTTTCCCCAAACAAGCATAATTAAATATGTAAATTCATCTAGATCGTGAGATAGCTCCTCAGGAGTTTAATTTCAGGCAGACGCATAGTACTGTAGACAAAGCAAAAAGACACCTACCATGTGAGTGCCTCTGTGAGCAGGTTTCACTAAGGAAAAGTATTTATTAAGTGGGAAAGAGATCATACAAGGGCATCAAAACATAATGCTCAGATTTCTATATATATAAAAGCCTAAGCGACTGTTAAGACCAACCGACTGAACAATTGGTCAACCAATTGCTATGACACACACTGACCTCTAAGGGGCAGATGCTCAATGCAGGAGTTGCCCCCTGATTGTCAGTGCCCTCTCACAGCCAACCTCCCACAACCGGCCAATCTCCCATGGTCCCTCTCCCCAGCTGGCCAACCTATCTCGGTCCTTCCTCCTAGCTGGCCAGCCCCCTTTCATGGCCCTGATCGCCTGCCAGGCTGAGGGATTCCACCTGTGCATAAATTCGTGCACTGGGCCTCTAGTTTTGTAATAAAATACTTAAGGATATGGTAGAAAAATCTAAATATGCTCAATAAAAGTTTATGTAATTTCATGAATGAAATATTTTTAAAAATAGTTTTATTGGTTTTCAGAGAGAGAGAGAGAGAGAGAGAGAGAGAGAGAGAGAGAGAGAGAGAGAGAGAGAAGAAGAAGAAGAAGAAGAAGAAGAAGGAGGAGGAGGAGGAGGAGGAGGAGGAGGAGGAGGAGGAGGAGGAGGAGGAGGAGGAGGAGGGAGGGAGGGAGGGAGGGAGGGAGGGAGAGAAAGGGAAAAATCAGCATCAATTGGCTGCCTCCTATAAGCCCTCTAGCTGGGATTGTGGCCATGTGCCTTCACCAGGAATCTAATGAACAATCTTTTGTTGCAGGGGACAATATGCAACCAATGGAGCCACACTGGTCAGAGCCATTAATAATATATTGAGAGTTATTTAAGGGAGATGAATTTAGTTTCTGGGTATATCTTTAAATTTTAAAAATCTCCATCATGGAGAGTGAACATGTTTCCATATAAGGAAAATTTCAGAATATGAGAAATTTTATTTATTTTAAATATTTGAGTTCCATAGAAAAATATAAATCATATAAAATACATATCACATACTATGAAAATAATATACACATTTGACCATTGGACAGCATGGGATTAAGTGCACTGATCCTCCTATAGTCAAAAATTCACATATAACTTTTGACTCCCCAAAAACTTCAGTAGTTACTCAGTGTCTGAGAGAAATTGGTTCCTATTAGCAAAATCCGTGGATACTCAAGTCTTATATAAAATGGTATAAAATAGTGCATATAGTCAGCCTTTTACATCTGTTGATTCTTAACCTTGGATCAAAATTACTATTTTCCATCCACAGCTGGTTGAATACATATATAGGAAATCCAGAGAAATGGAAGGCCAACTATATATTTATTGAAAAAAATCCATATCTAAGTGGACTCAAGTAGTTCAAACCCATGTTGTTAAAGGGTCAACTGTAATTATTTTTCATATTTTTAGGATGTTTGGAACTTATACAAAAAATAAGGGAATGTAATTTTTGAAAAACAATAAAATGTCATGCTCTGCTTGCATGTATTTTTTATCAGAGAAGATTGATCACACGATTAAAAATTGCATTGTTCAGTGTTTATTTTGTTTCCTTTTTAAATTTTTATTGTTGAAAATATTACATATGTTCTCTTCCCCCATCCCCATCAACACCCTCCAGCACCCCCGCTCACCCGGCAGACACTTACTACCTCACT